GTTTTACTATGTATGGAAAAGCACATTTAGCTGTGAAACATTAAAGTAACAAAAAATAAATTTACAGACATAAAATGCCATTAATAAAAAGGAAATTTCATACACATTGATACATTGGTAAAGTATCTATGAAGAAAACTGCAGGTATATGTTTAAGAAGATGTATTAAATAGAAATTGTAATCTTAAGGGAGGAAGGGAAGTAGGTGTCACTTATTGCTTTTATGTTTTCTTAAGGTAAACTATATAAAAATAATTTATTTTGAAATTTGTTTACATAATTGATCACTCAATACACAATACTACTAAACATTATGAATTTTTAAATAAAAATTTATACTTTTCAATGACTTTAAAATTATTTCAATTTTCCATCTCAATAACTGCATTAACATAAAATTCTACAATATTAAATTCATATGTTTTTAGAAGATTGATTTACTTAATGAACACCTTTTTGGTTTCTTGTTTTCTTTTATTGCATTTAATAAACAGTGGAAAATTTTAACATATGCATGGAAAAAAGTGTGTGGATTTTTTGCCCAAAGGGTGTTAGCCCAGAAGGACTATTAATTTCGTTTTGGCATTTTGCATTCATTCGCTATAAATGGCGAATCACTTTTTAAATTTTTGCCAACAAATATTAGAGCCCTTTATTATATGTCAAAAAATTAAATAATGAAGAATCTGCATAAATGTATGTACGTTCTCGCATGGTGATAAAACAATGGTACCTAGAGCCATCACATTTTGAATAACATATGTCTCCACTCAAATGTTGGCATCTGGAAGCCCAAATTTGGGAATTTGTGTTATTATCTGTTTCATATTTTGTAAAGCATTTATGAGTTTTTGATTAAGAAGAAACTCAACGATTTCAAAGCCAGCAATGGCTAAACCGTGCTGGAAGGGACATTTTTATCTCCAACGTGCGAAACTGTGTATCTGGAAATTCTAAAGATATGCTTTTTAAAATATTTTGTGATATTACTGTTGAACTGAATTTCATGGTTTCAGTGCGAAGAGCATGATATTTAATAAATAAATGTAATGCACACAACGTTAAAGAAAGGCCCCTTTGGGCATAATAAAATCTGAAAGCTTTCATATTTTTTATTTTTGATACTGTAAAGTTTAATTATGTTTCATACATATATTTTCTTCTTTACAGCTATGTGACTAAAATAAGTGCTGGTATATGAAAATAACATGTTGTCACGGATTTGGTATTTAAATAGCTAATATTAGTAGAATTATAAATTAAATTGCTTTATTCCCCGTGCAGTGTAGCACGTGATGAATATTAAGAGAAGGCTAAGCTGGAAAATTAAAAATACAAAAGCATGTGCATTTAACATTTAATAAATAAATATCTCTTTTTAATTTCGAGAAAATACCAGAAAAGTCTCGTGCATTTAAAAAGTTTATCTAAGCGGCATGAAAACCACTCAATTAGTTAGTAGTTTCATGAGTTTTGTTTAGAAAATGTTGTTGACTGTAGCGAATTCGCGGATTAGCTTTCTCAAATCTGAATTAATTCTACTGAACGTTTTAGTAGTTTAGGCAATAACTACTGTGAGATATTACAATATTGTATGAAAATCTGAGGAAATTTAAGTATTTTGTTTTACTTGCTATAATGATAATAAATTTTATTCATTTTTCATCGGACTTGTGTATTCAATTCATAACGAACCCGTACGTATGTAACAATCTGTTTTAAACATCGTTTTTACATTTGTAATATGCATATATTACCAGCATTATAAGTATGGTACTAAATAAATGTATGTACACCTGTGAAAATATATGCAAATTTCATGAAAAATATGCATACAAATGTAGTAGTACATTTAGTAAGAAAATAGTTGATTCACACAAATTTTCCCCCCAAAATGAAGGTTAATACGCAGTACAGTTAATACAGGAAATTTACCCCAATTTTTAACAAAATTATACCTATATAGAAAGCAAAAAAAAGAGGGAAAATTAATGTAAATTTATATGTAGAATATACGTTCATACTACATAAGAAAAGTTGTGCAGATTTATGTAAATTTTCACTAAAAATATACAAAATAAAAAAAAAAAAGTAAGATTACTTATATGCGATACATGGAAATTTTCGCCAAAAATATATGTAAAACCTTGAAACGTACGTATATTATATGAAAAAAGTATGAATAAAGCATGATCAAATATATACCTAAATATAAATATACCTAAATTTTACGTAAATATCTAATATTTTTCCAGAGACATTTTATATTTTTCAAGAGTTCTACATTTTTTTATGAAAATGACCATTTGTAAACTGCAAGTATTCTTTGCATGCAATTTACAAATACATGCTGTCTGAGTAAGTTGTACTTTAAAGAGAGGAAAATTAAATCTGAATTTAGTTGATTAGCCATCCAGAGTGAGAGATATAAAAGTGCCCCCATGTTTTGACTCATGTGCCGAAAGCTGTGATATTAACAATAACTTCTGCATACAAATATTATCCATCAGATGTTATTTGGATAATATTTAAATAAGGCACACTGCAGCTAAATCAGACATGAAAACCAACTGTACATAATGCTTTGAAAATATGGATGAAAAAAAAAAAGATGCAACTACTGGCATAGAAGAGGAATATGATGGACAAGGGTCAAGCCCTGGTATAAGAAAAATTTTAAAATCCCCTCCTCTTCCAGTGCTGATTAGAAACTCCTACAGAACTGAACTCAGTAATTTAAAGTACACAGCTTCAGTAATGTACACATTTGCACCATCTATATTGTTATGGTACAACTATTGCACATAAGCCACACATCATTCATGAAACACAAGTGGCTGAAAATTTATTACCAAGGAAGGCTGAAAATTTATTACCAAGGAGGTTGATGAATCATGATTGACACTCCTAGTTCATTCGATATCCCAGCAAAAATTTTATACTAGTCTGCACGGAGTTTAATGTTGAATTCAGCTAATACTCCACAATGACAAAAGACTGATTTATTTCAATGGCAGTTGCTCACTGTGTTATTTACCATAAAACATAAGCTCAGATATTTACTTAATGTAACAGTAATCTAGTAGGTTCCAATGCCTTTGCAAACTCTACCATGCTAGTTGCCATGCAGTATCATAAGCACAGGTCTAGTTTTCTACTGATAAGAGGGCATTACAGAACTATCTTTTTCAGAATCCTGATTTAGATCAGAACAACAGATATAAAATTAGACATAACAACCAGTTTAAGTGTTATCTTCAGTATCAGCCTTGTACAATAAGTGGCATGCCAGCCCTATAAAAATATACTGAAAATTGTTTGATACTACAGGGTGATTACAATTAAAGTTCTACTTTCAAAAGGCTGTAAAATAAAGAACCACTGGTCAGAATGACCTGAAATTTGACTTAAATATATGCGAAGCAATGGAAATTAATCTAGCAAAAGAGATAAAAATAGTTCAAAATTTTATCCATAGATAATGCTGGGCTCATAATGATATGCTAATTATATGACATGAGCTTACATATTAGACTTATAATAAACACATGGAGTACATACAGTTCTTATTATTCTCCATCTGAGATCATCAAGACTCAGGCTCTGCTCATGAAGCTTTTTTACAAGATTGACGTCTAGGCGTCAATTGCCCTGAAGACGTTCTAGATATTACGGTCATTAAGACTTGGACCTGGTCCCATGTCTGTCCCCAGTCTGCAGAAGACCAATTCAAACAGACCAGTTCATTTAACATGAAATCAGGCAGAGACAGGAAAGCTATTGTGCTAATGTCAGGCACATAGCTGTAACACTGCAAGAAGATATGAGCAGTGGTGTTAGAGCAAAGGTTATCATCTGATTTTTAGACATGCCTCTGTAGTGCTATCTATTCAAAATTATGCATACTGAGGAGTTGCTTCCTCCCAAATTGCCAAAACGACAAACTATTGCCTTACAATTTCTTCCTGAAATGGAAGTGGACAATGCATAGCCACCAAACATTTTGTGAATAGGCAAAAGCCACTGCCATCTCCAAGATACTCTCAATACACAAAATTTAGGAATATGGGCAAAGGATAATTCATACCCTCTGCATAATGTTTTTCATTCAAAAAAGGTCATTGTGAGGTGCGATCTACAGCAGCATTTGTCACTAGGCTCATTCTTTTTTGAGGTGATATGTCCTGCAGCTCCTCTTACTTATACCATTGATGCTAAATGGTATTGCTGTTTGAGATGGTGGTGCTGTTTTGAGATTTCAGCTAAAGGCAGAAAATGGTGGACAGCATAGTGAACATTTTCTAAGCAAGTTTATACGGTATTTCCCCCGCCTTTTTAGCGAGCCTTCGTCGTGTAGTGAACTGCACGCTCAGCATGTAATTGAGAGGTCCGGGGTTCGATTCCCTGTGAAGATGCTGCATATTTCTCATCTTGCCTGCTTCCAAAAACATACCTAATGTCTATACAGTGGCGCTCGAACTAAAAAGGATGTTGGATGATGATTCTCCTCACCCAGGATTTGGCGATTGGGGCCCCTAAAAACCCCAGTTGCCCTTCAAAAGGGGGAGTCATTCTGACCAATGGATCTTTTTTTAAAGGCTTTCGAAAGGGGAACTTTAATTATATTTACCCTGTATGTCTGAATGCGTTAATATTCCCATGCAAGCAGAGAGAGCATGTGTTACAAACACAACTTTATTCTGTCAATAACTGACAGAATACAACACTTTTTTCCCTAAAATGTTTCCTGATAGTAAGTAGCCATGCATTAGTCAAGCTAATAGAGTACTAATTCTATATAACCATTCCAAATCATATTGCTCCAGTTTATGCATAATATTTGTTCATTCTGCATAGCATCTAATTAAAATTCAAAATTATTTTTCAGACAAAGAAATTAAACAATCTACTATTTTGTACAATTATACATGATGCTATATTTGATTCTCATTATAACACTAAAAATACTTTTTTCTTTCCTATGAAAAATTAATGCATACCATGATCTTTCAGTAATATTACTTCAGCTTTAACAACAAATGATGTTTCAGTAAGATTCACTTTCTGAACACAAGTTTGCGATGGAATAGATACAACCAATGCTTGTTTTTCTGAACACAGAAGAACTAACTGCGAATCATGACAATCAGATGATGAAGTAGGAGAAACTTTGCTTTTTGAATGATTATTTGATGAAAGTTCTAGAAGAATAAAATTTAAAAAAAAAATTAAGACAACTGTATTTTGTTGTTATAAAGTACAGCAAAAATAAATATACACATAAATATATTTGGAACTAAAAAATATTACATATTCAAACTGTTAACCACTATGTTTAAAAGCACAGGAAATTATACTGTACAACTTAAAATTAGGAACTTTTGCTTACAAACTGATAGGTTTTCATGTATAAACACAAAAAATAAATAAACAGCTGAAATATTTTATATTTTATAACATGAAATTCATTATCAACAAATAAAAAGGGTTGTGGTGACATCGTTTGCAACACTGAAACGCTATCTGTCAAACTGTGGGAACATCGTTTGAATACTGAAATGCTACCTATCAAACTCTTCATGTTGCAATTTCCTTTTTGCTCAAGTGGCAACAGTAAAGGAGTTTGGAATAAAAAATAGATATTGGAAATTGTTTTCAAAAAAGAAACTCCTTAATATGTGTTTTACTCTTGTTCTCTCGTTAATAAATTTATTTAAACAATTTCGATCTCTACAGTGCTCTGTTAATACGTTTGTTCTTAATCAACGAACCTATAAATTGGTGGCAGTGTTCGTGACTGATTGATTGTGATTAAATGTCTACACACGAGAATTCTGAAAGACCAATGGAGAGATTAACAGCCAGTGTTAAGTATAAAAATTTCTCCTTTTTGGATATCCGATCCCAAATTATGGTTTCTTCAAATAGTAGCACAATTCACAATGCTGGAATTATGGCTGAACACACAAAATATGATTATGAAGTCATTATATACTTCAAGAAGCAGCTTGTCAGCTATTACATCTCATGGTGATTACCATGCACTAAACGCAGACACCTTACCAGAGTATTACCCACTACCATTTCTAATGGACAGTACAAATGTTCTGTATAGAAAAACAATTCTTTTCAACCATAGCTTTGTTAACAGCCTACTAACAGATCCCTGTTCAAGAAGCTGGTATTCTGAAGACTGCTATCAGAATCACCTTTTGAATTTCCATATCAGTCTTTAATCCGGACTCGTCGGGACTTCGGCGATTCCAGATTATAGATCATCAGTTTAAATCTGGTAAGATGGCATGCAGAAATTATAAAATTAAAAATATGAAACCGTAATTTATAAAATAATGAGCAATTACGATCTAAAGGGTATCAAAATTTACAAAAAAAAAAAGAAGCTGATGACAAAAATATTCATTTGGTCTGGCTTAAACAAAGACTGTGTGTGGACAAAGACAATTGTGGACTAAGCATGTTTGGCATACTAATGAGCCAAAGTTCACAATCATACCCATGCTCCAGCTGCTGAATTCAAAGTTCTAAATGGACGTTTCAAGCCCCTTAACATGGATATTGTTGGCCTTTTACCATCCTGCAAAGATTTCTGTATTTGCTTAGTATCATTGATAGATTCATTCAGTGTATCAAAGCTGCTCCTTTAGAAGATCAAACTACAGATTCCATCGCTGGTGCCCTTGTCACGACTTCGATTTCCAGATTTGGTCAGAGAAGATAACATCTGACCAAGGTCAACAGTTTGAAAACCAACTCTTCCAATCCTTGAGCAAATACCTAGGCTTCAAAGCTAATACTATCACAGCTTATCCCCCACAATCTAATGGTTTAATCACTAGACTGTGGCCAACATCGAACTTAAAAAAAAGCCTGAAATCCTACCTTCAAACATCAAATTCTTGATGTTCTAACTTTAGTTCTGCATGCAATTTGATTCATCATTAAAGAATATTTGCATTGTTCTGCTGCTGAACTTGTGTACTGTACACCAATCTCTTTGGCTGGAGAATTTTTCAGTAAATCCCCAAATGCTAAGCATTCAGATTTTATACAAAAATTGCAAAGTCACATTCAAAATCTAAAGCGAAGTCCAACAACCAGGCATGGAGAAAAAAGTTTTTTTTTTTTTTTGTTTTTTTGTACACAAGTACTAGCAAATTATCACCATGTATTCATCTTAAATACATAAATTCATCTTCTCTTCAACCAACCTATCTTAGATCATATTTAGTTTAACAAGGTTTTGAGAAATATTTTGAAGTGATAGTTTCAGGCAAAATTCAAAGAATATTGATTGATAGACTGAAACCATGTTTCAAACTCAAAGATGAAGTAACAAATCTTTAGACCTGTGAAGCCGACAACTTTAAAATTTCACAACCACATCCTAGTAACAATGATCCTTCCAAAGACACTGACCCTAGAAATACAAGAACTGGTCAAAGGATGAGACTTCTTGCATATATGAAAGACTATGAGGTGAAACGCTATCACTGGAAAGGAGGTTGATGACATCATTTGCAATAGTGAAAAACTACCTATCAAACTGTGGCAGCCTTGTTTGTGATACTGAAATGCAATCTGTCGAACTCTTCCCATCGAGATTTTTTTTGCTCAAGTGGCATTTTGTTTTGATAAAAGAAACTTGTTATCATTTGAATTACTCCTGTTTTCCTGTTAATAAATATATTTAAAGAAGTGTTCTCTACAGTATACTGTTAATAATTTTGTCCATAATCAACGAACCCATAAGGTTAATGGAATTTCACCAAGAGAAGTAAGAACATTTTTGTTATTATGAAAAGTAAACGCAAAAATATTATGTCCCAAGTTTTCTTGTTAACAAAAATAAAATATTACAGTCCTGAAATGTTCACAGCATATATATTTGAAGAAAACTTTTAAAAAGCTACATGAATCAAATTAAAATTATAGATTTGTATTGAATTTTTTCAATGTATTAAAATTCTGATGTAATTTTTAATGTAATCATCTAAAGAATTTTTTTATGTAAAATTAAATTAAAACAAAATATTTGCTTAAACATTAATGAAATAGATAAAAAAATATTACGAATTTCCCCATACTCTTCTTTTCTTTTTCTATTACTCCTTTACTTTCAGCTTCTTTATTTTCAGCTTTCCATGATTCAAAATGTGAAGCAAGCACTGATCCAGTTGAATCAAGAAATGATATAGAAACAATTGAACCTTTAATTCTATACACTGTGCCTAAAATAAAACACAAGATCAATTAAGAAATAAAATATCACGTTTTTATCGACATAGACTGACTGGACATGACATAAATAAAATTGACTTTTTTAGTACACATTTTAGGTTTTATTTGTACATAAAATCATATTCTGGACATTTAAACTAATATTTATTACAATTTACACAAAAGAAATTTAAAGAAACTCACAGAAAAAAAGTGAATTAAAAAGAAACGTGCATTAAAAATGAGTAAATTTCATCCACCATATCATGATAATACAGAAATAATATATTCAAATATATTCAAAATAGGTTTCTGAAAGTAGTTTGTACAGTCATTAGGTTTTCTTTGAGATAAGAGATGTGAAAAATGAGCTATGCCCACAAAGGGACTCAAACACTGGACCTCTCTAGTACGTGTCAAGTATGCTTCAATTTACACCCCGAAGGCATGCGAAAAGAAGGGAGAAAATATTTTATAGGTTCAAAGACTAAATATAAATAAAAAATTTATGAGCTTAGATATGCACTTTTTGTGTAAATATTTTTGACCAGTAAACTGTGCAATGAAATCTTACTCAAGGTGATTAAAAAGGGAATTACAGACTTATTTCTTTAAACACTGATATAATTACTTCAAACTCAAAATTTTTTGAAGTAAAGTAGTTTTATGTGAATTGTTTCAACAATATTAAAAGGGTTTTGTAAATACAATAACTAACATTTTATGTGGTCTCTCCATTGATCCAAAAACTATCAGTATGCTTTCATAAATTAAGTACAAAGAGTTTCATAGTTTTACGTGCAAAATTTGAGGAATTGTTCAAAAACAAATTTATTATTTTAGTTCTCCTTTCAAATCCTATCACTAAACAACTTTTATCATATTTTAGATGATTTAGGCAGAAGCTACAAAACAAAAGGTAGCTTGATTTGGCAATTAAAGAACGTGTATGTGATAAAACATTGCATAATTAACTTTTAAGCTAGCCTCAAGAAACTAATGATTACTAAAATCTCCATGAAATTTGCTGTTAAATATAACTTAATACAGAATAATGAATACAAGAACTCTCTTTTCTAAGAAGACTAAGTAAAAAATTATGAATTTTACATTTAGCTTTGAAATTGTTTTTGTAAGATTCTGTACCAGTTTTGTTAATTGCTATTTTGATTTTAACTACGTTTAGAATTAATATTTAAAGAAAGAATGCTTGTGGAAACCACTTTTGAGTACCTTATTTAAAATATTACATTACACATTTTGCTTATACAAGGTATCAAAGGAAGTTTGTACACACTCATTTACTTCAGAATTAACAATCTCAGAGTGCACACTTGTTAAGGTTCATCTCTAAACAGAACATTCTGGATTGAATGAAAGAAATTGTAAGGTATATAGCGGAAATTTATTAAACTGAATGTTGGAAAGAAGAGGGTGGGAGAAGAAACAGGTTGTAGAATGCAAGCCAATTACCATTAATTAACATTCAGTAATATGCTAACTAATGTGGTATGATTACCAGTTACAAATCACTGGACAAAAACTGATAACAGAATGTACTGCTTTGACACACACACAAAGTTACTGAATAATTTCTGTCACAGTTAATAACATTTATGAACATCACTGTTGTTTAGTATTTTCATTGACATAAGCACAGACTAACACACATTAAAGTGTTCATCCTGGACAGATGAAATAGAGAAGAGGATAAATTATCAAAGCCTTAACAACTCTACTAAGTGCATACCTGAACAATAGGCAGAGTCGTAGCTGGGGTTTTCAGCGCCCAGGGACAACTGAAGATTTTGCGCCCCTTACTTGCCAAGGATGGAAAACATTTAATTCTAAAATGTCGTAACATCAGTTTGGCGCCCCTTGGATTCTGCGCCCGGAGACAGATGCCCCCTCTTGCCACCCTCTAGCTACGCCCCTGACAATAGGAATCTTCACAGTCATTCAGATGCCCAAATATTTAGCTCTGCCAAATCAAAGATATTATTTGCCATCTGTGCAATAATATGCGGCATCTGCAAAATGGAATGTGCAAATCATCTGAAAGTTTCCTAAAGGCATGCTTCTCTATCCAGATGGCAAATTATAAGATGGCAATACTTGCTGGCACTTGCAACTGCAGTGCCATCGATACTTCTCAGGTGTATGCCCAGCATTTGCTGTCCAGTCTATAGAAAGCTGATATAAAATCATTTCTAAAATATTTTATGTTAAAGCTGCACCACTTGTGAGTTCCCCATCTCAGAGAGACAAATAGTATAGCTCTATACATGTTCTACTTGGCAAGCCTAGAAGATTGAATGTTTCAGTGATTCCAGAGAATTTACTTTGTAATTTGCCTTTACCATTCCAAACCTAAGAATGGAAATGATGTGCAAGGCAATGAGAGCTAATACTTTAATGTGAGCAGCAAATTGTGAATAAACATAGTATTCATCACATATGACAGAAATTTCATTAAACATGCATTTGGATTACTTGCATCATGTCAAAGTACTTGAGGTTAGAAAACTTTTTTTAAAGGTAAGTTGCTCATATTCACATTAAAAATGGGGAAAACCATGAAAACGTCCATAAGCCAGCTAGGATTTAAACCTCGGTCAAACTACCACGGTACAGCAATTTTATCACATGCTGATGAGCACTGTCAAATATAGCAGAATCAAGACTGATATCTGCTAATAAAGAATTTACAACGCTCGCACAAATTGCATTTGCACAAAACAAAAGAATAAAACTAAAATAATAACAGCTTTACATCCGAGTGTAGTTTAGATAATATACTCCAAACCATTCTCTTCCAAGCAGCCTCTATTTTGTCTACATTAAAAAACCTGTTTTGGATTACCTTGCCTCCTTTCATGAATATTTTATAGAAAAAATGAAAAGCTATTAGCTGCTGCATGGTCATAAGAGATGGATTATTTTGGACCAGAATGTTAAAAAATGTCATAAAGGTTATTCGCATCTTCCTTTTGGAATAATAAAATAACCCAGAAGAAACCTTTTTTGAGTCTAATCTTCATTCAAAATAATTAAAAATATTTTGGTCTTCTTCAGTCTGACATCAAGTGTTACAGAGCACAAATTTGAAAGAATGGAAATGTACTACTGATAACAACATAACACGTTTTCTTCACACTTTTTTTAATACTCAGCACATTGGACTCATTAATAAGTTTTCCCAACTGTTGTTATGCTCCTGCCTTTTTTTAATTCGGCCAGTAGTCAGAACTTCCTTATAATGTTAACATATTCTTTTTTTTCCTTCGCAATGCCTTCAGAACAAGAGAAACTTGAGACAATGAGCAGAAATTAAATGCCCGCCAGTTCAGAGAAAAATGCAAAATAAATTAATAGCAAGATTTTGGTAATTTTCATAATTTACTACAGCATTTTTATTTATTTATAATTTTAAATATTATTATTTTCTGCAGACAATCAATACTACAGAGAACTGAACAGTGGGGATTAGTGTAATTACACGACCAGAGGCTTAGCCAGCAGGATGCAGGGAGATGCACATAACTCGCTAAACAAATGAAATTTATTTTCAAATTATTTAGCTAACAAATTCTCGTTGTTTGCTGTTTTACTTATGTTGTTGTTGTTCCTTATGCTCATTTGTTTGATGTAGTCAGCCCAAGCCCCCTAAGTTCTACGTAGCAAGGAGCACTAGATTACATCTGCCATTGGCAACAGCCTTACCACCGGGGGATGGGTCCGAGCACCTTCGGCTAACTGCATATTTAGAGTGCCACCATGCTGTACCGTCACTACACATTTACAAACATCCATGCCTTTTCCGGGATTCAAATTTGGACCCTTCGGCTGTTTTACTTATTATTCTGCTCCTCAGCTTGTCATGTAAAAGCCTAAAAGCTACCTATCCATATAAGGTCCTGATAGCCTTTTGTATATGCTCACTGCATAAACTGCATGTCTTCATTCATTGTCACAAATCAGTAATGGAAAACTGGCTGTAATTTCAGGAGTTTCCTGCAAACAACATTGCCTCTTTGTCCTATCAGTTGACAAATATGCATCATTTCCTCAATATCCTTGCAAGTCAAGGACAGGCTTCCTTGTGAAAAACTAGAGGATGTTATTTGAAAAGTCTCAGATCACTTTCTTGAGTCAATGGGAATGGGAAGAAAAATTGTAACAATCTCACGTTTAATTTCATTCAATTTTAGAGTCGGTATAGTACTTAGTACTTAAGTTACTTAGCACTGAAGTACTTAATAGTTAAAGAAACTAATATTATATAACGATACATAGCTTTGAATTTTTCGAAAAACTTGCATGTGGAGCTTAAAGATTTTCATCAACCAGTCAAAGTGTAGAAGTTATATGAGCCAAGAAACTCACTGATCCATCATTCCACATCTGCATTTAGGGTTATCACATATGAATGAGCCTTTACTGGCTGAGCATCAGAAGGGTAATTGTATGTGACTCAATATTTGAGGTTTGTTACACTGAGTTTCTTAGAGTTAGGGAATGAAACCAACTGACTTGTCTACTGTTTTGTTTGGTAGCCATCAATATGAGTGATAAAAGTATGGCTGACTCTATTGAGCAATGCATAATTATGAGGTTCTTCACCTATGAACCATGAAATACCTCAGGTCCAATATAGGAAACATACCCTTTCGTGGTCAAGAAAGGTTTAGTGCAACAGTTTCAAACAAGGCCAAAAATGTTTTACAAATCAAGTTCATCCTTTTTCTCCTTACTGAATAACAATAAAAAAGGCTGCCCAAGCTCTTCTTTCACAACTGCTTCAAACTTTTTTCGAAGAAGCAGATATTTTTTGCATTAAATCGTCACCTGTGACAAGACATGAATGCATCATTACACCCCTGAATCAAAATCTGCAAACATGGAGTGGAGGAAGAAAGGTGAAAAAAACCAGATTAAGCCAAACTGCACGGAAAGTGTTGGCTATGGTCTTCGGGGACTCCATATTAACATGTTTGGACCCCTCAAAGAA